ATGTTTGCAAAGTCGGGAAGTCGAACCAGAAGTAATATGTTGTAGGTTTCTGCGCGGGAAGGTCGAAGATGCACTGGTCAAATGTGATGATGGAGGTACACGCCAAACGTGCCATTGCTCGGAAAGCTCGAAGCGTCCACACTGAGGCCGGCCGTTGTCTCATTAACCAGGTGGCAAAGGCGGGATGCTCAAGAAATCCGCACGAAGCCCCTTTGCGCTACGAGCACGAGAAGCTCAAGCAAAAACTGCACAAGTGCAGTGCCAACAGAGACCTGATGTGCTTCAGCTTTCGTGAGTCCAGTTTTGCCCCATGGAAAATCAAAGCTGCGAACTGGTCGGGGACCGTTCGGTGAATGGCGAGCCGCTGACCAAGTCTCGCAGCTCGGCCCGCCACCACAGCCCAATATTTGGCCAGAACAAATCTGGTCTTTCCAAAATTGGCAAGTGACCGGGTCAGTTAAATCCGAGTTTTGTTTGGCGAGACATAGGTCTACTGACAAACAGTAGAGCATTGCTCCATCAAGGGTGTGTCGAGCTTCGATACAATGTTGCAAATCCCCTGATCTGCGGTACCCGCTGTAAAAATGGACAAACAGGTAACTTTTGAGATGCAACCGTGCTGTTTCTGCCGCTAATCCGAAGGTTTGGTAAGCACCAGCTTTGCCTTGAACTCGCCCTGCTGTGCTTTGGCCCAAGAAGGGGATGATGATGTCCTCTGTGACATCCGGCCCCTCTGATGACACACAGAAGCCGTCCAACATCTGAAAGGCAGATCCAGGGGAAGCAATACGGACCGCCCATTTGTGTCTCATGGCAACTGCTGCTTCTGAGCCAGGTGGAAGTAGGCATGGCATGGGAACACGCAAAACAGGCAAGAAGGCTTTGGTGGCTCGCCAGCCTTGGGACTTCTGTGCTTGAGCATACGCCAAATCGGCCTGTGCAAGCTCTTCCACAATGTCCTCTGGTGCTGGGACAAAACAGTTCAAATACGTCTCTTTGCAGGCCTGCACAGCTGTGACGTGGGCCAAGGCCCTACTGCGGTGGAAATACTTCTTTCCACAGGCAAGACACTCATCAGAGAGAACAAAATACTTGAGCTGCTTGGTGTAGCCATGTCTGTGCTTTGCGTGGATTGCTAACCCGCGCTTCGTGTCAAAGCCGGCTTCACAAAGAGCGCATTGCCACTTAGCAGGGGTTGAGGCATCAGGGAAAAGCATCTCATCTGAAAAACTCTGGATTTGCCGTTCAATGCGCAAGGTCCATAGTTTGCCTGCGGCTGCAGCATGGGAATGACTCGTTGCGGCTTGCAAGGCACGTCTGACACGTCCATTCCATCTGTCGTCCAGGGCAATAAGGTGCAAACAAGCTCTGAAGTCATCAACTGGCAAATAAAACTTACCTGGAAAATGCATGTGAAACCACTGCAAGGACTCAAGCAAGGCGGGCCCCCAGGTATGACTGTCTTGAGTGGAGCAGACCAACTGCCACAGCAACTGTGGGGCATGCGTGATGGCTCGCTTGGCATATCGGAGCCTATCGGCATGAAGCAGATCGAGGGGGTTGGCTAAGTTGAGCAAGCCAAACAGCTCAGCAACTGTGAAATGAAAAACAGGAATCGGCCGCACAATTGACTTGGCTAATCTGGAAACTGCATCCTTCAGTCCATTGGCACATCGACCCAGATCATCAGGAGTCATCCATGCCCATGTGTGAACATTGTAAGAATGCCGTGAGCACACAAGGGCAGAGAATACCGCAGTTTTGGTATGCAGTGCAACATTGCGCTTGCCATAAAAGGGTTTCTGGAGTTGCCCAAAGGCTTGTCTGGCTTGAGCTATGCGGTATGACACATCTTTGTGCACCACAGCCTGGCACTGAATAAAGGAACCCAAATGCTTGTAGGCATGCACAACTCGCAACGCTTGCGTGCCACTTTCGGTCACCACCGGGAGGGAGCCTTTAAGCTCATGCCACAAGCGTCTCTTGACATTCCGGGACCCAGGTCCAGCACAGTAAACCAGGGCTTCTGTCTTCCCGGCCTGATAATTGAGCTGCATCCCTCTACTTGTGGCAGCATCATGAAGGCATGAAGCAATCAATTGGAGCGAGGAAATGACCTGTGCCGCGGATGTCCCATGCATAGCATATGCAATATCATCAACGAATGTCACCTCGGTAAAACCAGAGGGGGGCATCGCCTCGTGGGCACACAACTCTGAACTCACCTTGGGAGTGCCAAGAAATGGCAAGTCTGAGGAATGAAGGAACTTGGTCCGAGCATCTAAAACAATGAGGCGAAACGCCATATTGAAAAGAATGTCGGCCACAGGATCACCAGGTCTTGTTCCACGAAATGTTGCAACTGGACCCTCAACACCAGGCATAAGAAAGTGCGTACCTTCAAACATGTCTGCAAGAATCCCTTTGTGGTGTGCATGCAATGTGCTGGCTGCATTGTCACCTTGGACCGTCTGTAAAATGTGGTGCCAGTCACTGGGCAGGATGCCGAGCCTGGACATGGCCTGGCACAGAAGGTCATCATGGATTGGCTCATTCATCAGCATAGAGCGGATAACAGTATAAAAGGCGGCATGCAAGTCAACAAAAAGCATTGCACAAGAGATGGATTGCGTTCTGGCCCATGCAAAATACGCATGTAGAAGGTGGTGAGCAATGTCAGTGGAGCAACCCTGTTTCCCACCTTGCTGTATCAGATCTTCATGAGACAGCCACTCGTTAACCAGCGCTTTCCGAAGGTGGGAATGATGGATTTTACCACACACATATCAGAGATGAAGATCGATCTGGAGCCCTTTGCATCCTGGGGTGACCCCTTGCCTTTAAAAAGTGGGACAAGCAGGCCTCCCTTCCACGACAGTGGCTCATGCATGTGCCATGCTGCCTTGGTCATTAACGGAAGCAAGGTCTGAGCCATCGTGAAGCCCCCTGCTTTGAGGACATCAATGGGTAAGCGTCCAGGACCAGGGACCTTCCCATTCTTCATGCGTCGGATGGATGCCAGGATGTCTTGAGCGGACATAAGTAAGGCAGGATTATCAATGCAGGCTGTATCACGTTGCGCGTGCAATTGCTGCATCTGGTTTTGAGTGACCGGAAGACAAGCTTCCAATTGTCCAAATTGGCGGCACCAAATTTGTTGACATTCCTCATGTGACTTCGCAAACGAGCCATCTGGAGCAACAAGTTTGGGCAAGGGACGAGGCCCTTGATTGTGGGTGCTGCGCTTTCGCCCAAGCCTTTGAAGTTTTTTGTAGACTTGTGCAGTGTCACAGCGCCGGGCAAAGGTGTCTATATCATCAAGCCAAGACGCATACCACTGCTTCTGATCGGCCTGAACCATGGGTCGCAGAACATGTTCAAAACTCTTGAGCTCAGAGAGCAAGAGAGGGTCAGCATTCATGCCGTCACTGCGCATCAATTGCAAAGCTTGGCGTTTGAGCGCAATGCCATTGAGAGTATTGGGAGACAGAACCGGTCGTTGCCTTGTTCGAGGCGGCTTGCCAAAGTGTTGTTGAGCCAGCTGGAGAATGTTGGTCTCTAACAAGCAAGAGTGAGCATCAACATCAACCTGCCACGTAGGCAATGGCAATGTACGCAGTGCCTGTTCGAAAGCCTGCCGGGCGTTGGGATCACCAAGCTTGGCAAAGTCCCAACAAATCCTAGTGCAGGAGGGAGCGGCAGGCAAAAACCCTTGGATCGTCAACTGGGCAGGAAAGTGATCTTGATGACCAAACCCACTGTCAAAGTCGGACAGGACCTGCGAGGCCGAAACAAGCGAGAAAGCAACAGAGCTGACTGCCACATAATCACGACGCAACAGGTGCCCATGAGGGTGTCGCCATGTCGCACCAACCCCACAATGCCAGGCAAACGTGGCTGGGACAAACAGTTCATGCGTAATGAGAAAATCCTGAAAGATCTGTCCTGGGCCATTGGCTGCTTCTGCTTGATGTGTGTCAAAGTAGCTGGTCGCCCCATCAGCAAGCGGTGCATTGGCATCCAAACAGCAAAACAGGATTGCATTTCCAGGCACAACAGAAAGAACTTGTCCAAGGATTTGCCACCATGATCGGACTTGGTCAAGAGGACGTTCAGCACTCTGGCAAGGAGCATGTGCAACCAGAACATAGAAATCTATTGGCCCCTGAATCCGCACCAACAGGTACCGTGGGTCAGAAGCTAACACCGTGAAAGTGAGGTCAGACGCAATAACAGGAGTCCCATTGGCCTTGTGGGCAATTGGGAGACTCTTGTGTACCCAAAGTTCACATCCGTGGTGCCTGGAACGCCCACACTGGGCAAAGCCTGAGGAGAAAATGCAATAGTGATCTGTGCATCTCTGTCCTTCTGCTGTCCTGGTTTCTTGTAGGCCGATGAGAGCTACCTGAGATCGGTGAAATTGATGGTCAACCCGCACTGAACGCGGTCCAGGTAATCGGAGGGCCTCATCCGCTTCATCAAGAGCTAAGGCATTGTAAGTGACTACCTTCATACCAATTGACGTTTCTTGCGGAAGATCAGAGCCAGAAAGGACCTTGGTTTGAATCACATGATTGGACGGTGGTGGCTGCCAAATGGCACCTCCATGTAGTGTCGGGAGTGTGCCAAGGAAAGACTTGGGAGCAGCTGATAGCCAGTTCCAGTTGCGATCTGAAGCAGAGCAGGCTAACTCATGAATGGGCTGCCACGGTACACATCCAATCCCTTGCGCATGGGTAACAGTCCATTTGGCTACTCGGTCCGCCAGTTCGTTCCAAGGGTCATTACAGTGGGCTCGCACTTCTTGGGTCACAACCTTGTCATTTGCCAATTGCCCCAATGCATGAAGCGTCTGCACCAGAGCTGAAAGTGTTCTTGTAGTAGCCGCGCTAGTTGCAACCTTTCGACTCAATGCAAGGTCCGGACGAACACACACCACATAGTCCTGACAAGCAAAGAGAGCAAAAGCCGAAGCGATAGTCATGGCTGTTAATTCTGCATCAATATTTCCCATGCTGTGTGGCTCCAACCCAATGAGGGTGTTCAGGGCATAGTTGGGTAATGCCTGAGACACAGCCGTAAAAGGTGCGCCCTGCAGGGGATAAGGCAACTGCGACGACAGCCCAAGCCGAGGTGTCGGCAGGGGTTGCCCCATCGACATAAAGTTCAAGAATGTCAGGCTTCAGTGTGGCATCCACAGGTTGTAAATGTAAGGCCTCATAGGTGGCAGGATGCATGTCGAGACCTGCTGGAAGGAACACGAAGTGCCACTCATTGGCAGCCTGAAGCATCTGCAGTGTATCAGGACACTGCAAAAGCAATGTGGCATCACGGTCCTCGTCAAAGCTACATGATGGGGTCGGAATGGAAGCTTCCAAACACAGTTGCACTTTGGGATGTTGCCGATTGAGATCAAAACTGACATGACTAGGTGCCGCATGATATTCAACCACATCTCCATGTCGCAAGTGAACTTCAGAAGATAAAAGCTGACCATTCCTTCGGATCTTGGTACCATGTTGAACAGAAAGGCTTTGTCGCAGGTTGAGGGCAGTGGTGTCCTGGGGAAATGTGCGTACACCATAAACCGCACCATCTGCTTGATACCTAACACACAAAACAATGGCACAAGTCTGTGAGGGGACCTGAAACGAGCCAATCCACAACTGCTGGGCATGTATGCACCAACTAGTGCGCAGGAATCGTACAGGAAACAGCGAGGAAACTGGTTTCAAGAAGTCATGCTTGCTGCGAAAGGTCGTTGAAACTGAAGGACCAATGCTTTCATCAGGGCCCAGAAGCACAGTGTCAGTGTTACCATGTGGTAATTCCCAGGCACAAACAGTCCATGCAATGGCACTAGAGCTTAAAAATTGGCCAAGTGAAAGAGGGATATTGGCAATGTCCTCTTCAGTGTCCAAGAGCTCCTGTTCGAGGGAAATGGGGCGTGGCACTAATGTTGTCATCAAGGAAGAAGTGCCACTGACAGATCGGACCTTGCTATTCAACTGTAACATCATAGTGCCATCACTGGGCCCGGAGGGCTCTGGCCGATCAAACTCACCGTAGCGCACAACAACGTTGGCACCAGAGTACAGGCTGACAAATGCATCGAATGGGTAGACTCTGCCTGCAAAAAGCACGGTCATAACGGAAGATCTAAACCATGGCGGCACTGCAAATCGAGCAATGTCTTCCCCAAGAGAGCGCCGAGGCAAAACATATGCAGCATGTTGGCAGACAACATCTGGTGTGTGATCCTGAGTGGCAGTCAACAGGACAGCTGTCTGGTCAGGCTGCATAGACTGCGACAGAATTACATGTACCGTAAACCCTTGGCTAGGCGAAAATGGGGGAATCGGTTGAACCACCCAAAATTCCGCCGGCAGAGAACCCTGAATACGATCATGCCAAGCCTGAGCAATAGCAGTACGCCACATTGTGAAATCACTAGTAAGGCGCACTGCTCGTGGTTCTGTGCACCACATATGAGAGCACCCGTTTACATACCACGACTGGATGTAAAGAACCGGTCCTTCTTCCAGCATTTCAGTGGCAGAGTGATGAGCAAAAAATTGATTCAATGCCTCAATCCATTGTGGGGGTCTGGATCCCCGTGGAGGTTGGTCACTTGCTGAGCTGGGCTGCATTGCACTAGGCACTTCCGGCAATGTGTTGGCATCCATGACATCACTGGGAAATCCAGGTCCTGGGGGCCTACGGTAGATTTCACCATGGATTGCATCCTGCAGTTGCCGGCGAAGCAAGGCATCCGGAAGCGCAAGCAAGTCTTGCAAGTTGATCCGCTGACCACGGCGAATGCACAACCTAAAGGCATTACCGGTTCTTACAAAAACCTGTCTTTGCTCTGGAATCACTGTTGAGCCGAACCAAAGTACACATTCATTGTGTTGGACATGTGGAGGGCAGTCATTGATTAGGCGTACCTCTTCCAAAACACTGCGAAGTGAAATTGAGGCCCCATGAACTAAACCAAAAGTGCGTGGCGTGGGTTGAGACCGTCCTGTGTCATAAACCGAAAGGATGATACTACGCAAAGCTTCCTGGGGAAACTGAGTGAGGATGAGCTGCGCAGAAGTACCGGGTGCCTGATCTTCTGAGGCAGGGTACACCAAGGCAATGTCAACCCTTGCACCGAGTTCACTACGGTCACTCCAGTGTTGCAGCAGGACAGAAAGCCATGTGCTGGGCTCGGATGTCAGGGTGACGATCCTGGAATGGTAACATCGGTCAAAATTGACATGATCTAGGAACCAGGTCTCAACTCGAAATTGAGTGGCAGGGTCATCACCATCTTGCAGAGCCTCGGTGCGTCGCAGTTCCCACAGTTCACGCAAGGCCGGTGGGAGGGTACTCTCCTCCTCTAATGCATGCATTGGCAAGGGGTCATGGTCCTGAGCTTCACTAAAACGGCGAACAGCTTGCACGAATTCATCAGTAAAGCTACATGTGCGTGGGATCGGAGCAATCCCAGAGTTTTCACCATGGCTGCTCGGAGACTCGACATTCTCAGACGAGGCCGAGCCATGCTTCACAGTGGAAATTTGAAAAAGGCCAACTGCATCATGCAAAATGACGAGGAATGGTGGGAGGAATCCAATTATCAGGTAAAAAGGTCCTCAAAATGTTGATTTCAAAGGCATCACCATCTCGAATGGGAATGGGCGTCTGGGGTGGCAAGAGCAAATCACGTAGCCTTACCTGGCACACTGCTACCCTAGGGCAATCCATGTGATAGCCTGTGAAAAACAAGATGTCTTCAGGTCTAGACCTATCTTCAAAGACATGGACCTGTCGGCGAAAAAGTCCATGATTCACGGCTGGGTCAACGATGGTCACCAAGGAAGCAGCATGAGTGTCAAGTGGGTGCTGTTGAACAATGACGTGTCCAGCAACACCGGGCTCCAAACTGGATGGATGTGGACTAACTGAAATGATATCAGCTGGAACCATGGGATCAGTTTGATCAGCCCATGTCTGTAAAATACGTCGCCTCCAGTTTTCCATATCTCCATACAGAACAACTTCCCTACTGTCAAGGCAAAATCGACGCCCAGTCGCAGGGGACACTCGCCATGTGATAAAACGAGCCGAGGGCACGGAGTCGTCCCATGACTGAGCAGCTGCTAGCCATTGAGTGGCGATTGTGTGAAGATGCATATTGTCAAATTCATCAGTGAGAGCCCCGGGAGCAAAAACTGGTGCTTCAGGATTGAAGTCAAAGAAGGTCGGCTCTGGATTGCTGGCTGGCAAATCAATACCTTCCTTCGGACTGACTACATCACAGTGTACTGCAGGTGCTAAAGCAGTTTGATCATGTTGGGTGTGACCTTCGTCCAATGTTGGAGTCAAAGGCAAGGCGGTAAGGACAAGACTCTCTTGCAACGCCTGGAAAACTTCGTCATCTTCCAGAGTTGAGTCATCTCGAGCTAGGTTTCGGACACCATCTGATGAAAGCAAAGATGGCGACAAATTCAATCCAACCTCCTTTCGGTCATCTCATCTAAAAGTTCCTGGTCAGAGAGGCCCTGTTGCGAGAGGGCTACTGCCTCAACAGTTGAGCAAATGAACCTGCTGGTAGGAGGAACCGCAACCCGAAAATATTCACCATGTGAAAGCATACGAGGTTGGTGATCGTTGTCTGCCCATCGTGTATGTCCATGCCAAACAAAGCAAACATCTGCCTCTTGCCTGCAGTACAAGTCCACATTTGCAGAAATCAACACTGATGACCTTATGCAGCGTTCAGGTAATCTGACAACAGTGCGCGTTGTTGTGGGCCCAGCTACATAATTGACTTCAAAGGAGTGGCCATGAAGTTCGGTGTCGAGGAGCACCAGCTTGGCAGGTTGACCCACTGCAATGTCGTCAAAAATGTGAACAATAATCGGAGTGGCACCTTCTGGTGTGTCGTGGGGATATGGCAAAACTTCATATGCATCTATCACTTCAACAGGATCCCGGCCCAAATGAAATGCAATTTCTTGAATCATGGTGTCATAATCCGACCAGTCCAAGAAAACTCGTATCGGCGGGTCAGCAAGGTGATACAAAATCGATTCTTGTCTGCCCCCAACAGAACTGGGTGGAGCAACCTGGGAAGAATCCGTGGCTACGGATGCAGAATATCCATCAGACATCGCATCGTTTGATGGTGTATGGCTTTCCAGGGGGATAGGATCAGCCTGTCCCTGCGCAACCCCTTCCAGGATTGGATTGCCTTCATCAGGAAATGGCAATTGCTTGCATGCAAATGTTTTTGGAGCCGTCTTCTGCATGAAAGAAACATCGTCGTCTTCAGCCAAATCAATGAGAGATGCATCAGCAGTTTTGGCATTGAGCCGTTGAAGGTTGGTAATATCACCTAATGCAGGTCTCGGGTCACTAAAACCCTCAAACAAACTGCCAGGTTTCAAGCATTGAGGAAAATGGTCCCGGATCAAGACGGCCGAACTCGACAGCGGTTCCTGGGACGATTGAAAAGGGGGGAGCTCTGTGACTTGTTCATTTGGAGGATGTTCCTCATCGCCGGAGTCCAAAAGTTTACAAATCTTGGAAACCTTGCATGGATAAGTCAGAGCATGTGATCGGGTGTACTTTCGAATCTGCCGAGTCTTACCAGGCCAACCATGAAACTGATTCAAATCAAAAAGCACAACATGCTGAGTAAACTCTTCATCGCAAATCGTGACCTCTGGCAGGAACCGAACTTTACGCAAAAGTCCAGATCGAATAGACCTGCTGCGCTTTGCACAAGAGGATTTTGGTTGGAATGAGCACTGAGACAGCACTGGCAGAAACGGAGAAAAACCATCATCTGATTGCCGCAAAGTCTTGAGCCCGCTGCTCCACTGATCACACATCACAGAGAAGCACAGCTTCATAGCTTTGCTGGCTGCACGAAATGGGTTGGTAAAATTTGGTTCGGATTGGGCGGAATGACTGTATTGGAGTAAAACATACCGTGAAAAATCTTCAAAATGGCTTGCTGCACAACTGTGGGAGCCCCTACAGTCATAGGCCTCAACCATTCTGGAAGCACGGCTGCGGGTGCCGGCATCATGCAATCCCTTCACTAATGGACATGGGTTTGCACTGCCTTGTGTCACTTGGCAGTCTGTCCAGGTTGACCCAGCCCTGGTTCCACAGAGCGAGGTCGTTTGTTGGTGCCACGCTCTCCTTGATCGTCGTCGGAGGCAATGGTCTGAACATCTGCTGGGGAGGCTGCTGCCACACCAAGGGAACCGGCACAGGTCTGCAAAATACCTTGAAGTTGAAGTCGAAGTCGTTCTTCTTCCGAATCCACAAGGTCTTCCTGCTGGCCTTCTTCTGCTAGGGGCATTGGAACGGCCGCTATAAGGCTGTGCTCCCTTCCGGCTCTTGAGAACTGAGTCTCTGGATATCGGCACGGCCTGCTGCAATGTCCGCTCTGGCTTTGAGGGCCATTTCTTGCAGGGCAGCACCATGTTTGCGGTATGTTTCCAACTGAGACTCCCACGTTTTGATGCTTTCCGTGAGGTGGGCAAGCCAGCTGTTGCGGTGCAATCGTCTGGCTTCTGAGGTCTCGGTCAACAGTTTCTGCGCTTTGTCCAGCGCTTTGGTAGCGCTGTGGAGAGATTTGGTGACACTCTTCTTTAATCCCTGTTCCGCCCTCTCGATGGCTGCTGTTGCCTCGGCCGGACGGGTCTGAGCATCTGGGTACGCCTCTCGAAGGAGACGTGCAATCTCTCGATTCTCTGCTTGCAACTGTTGGTTCATTGCAGTCGTACCAGAATCTGGAGAAACTGTCGTTGTATTGGCAGCCAAAGCCGTTGCATGATCCAAGGTGGGCCATGGCGGAGGAGCAGGTGGAGGCGGCAATGGTCGCGACCCTTGCTGACCATCTCCAGCATGACCCTTTCGTCCTTTTCCCCCTCCTTTGGGTTTTGGAGCTTGAGCTTTGGCTCTTGGCTTGCGACGGCGGTGACCTGTTTTGGTCTGATTAAAATTGGCGCCTGGATGAACTCCTGGATGAGGCAGAGACATGATCCCATGCTTCTTGTGCACCAGGATCCCAATCCCTCCACCTGTCGTACGTCCATGCTGATGGTGTTGAGTCTGTCTTTTGCTTGGTATCGTGTGGAATACCTTGTTCCCACGAATCTCCACATCTGTCGCAAAACGCGGCTTTCTTGCCGTTGATCTTGGAACATGAGGAACATTTCCACGGGCCGTTCCAATCCATATCCATTGCGTGTTGAATGTGGCGCAAGAAAATCAGATCTTGGGAGTGATGTTTGGCCAAAGTGGCCTGTAATTGTCTGAGCCTCGGTACGGTCAACTTGATGTAGCCCTTCCGATGGAGCCACCAAGTGCGTCGGGCGTTTGCTCGTTTGCGCCGAGCCAATCTTCTGTAGGTGGCCAACGTCACTGTGCAGAAAAAACACAAAGATGAACCCCCAGAAGTTGGTCGTAGGAAATCCCATATACAAAATTGTTCCGGTTAAGGCAGAGACCGAAAACCCGTCCCAGAATAAAAAGTAAATTCCAGGGAAAGCAGCAAGGGATGCAAGAGAAGTGAATGTTCGAACCACTCGACAGCAAGGCCTTACGGCTAATTGTAGATGGGCAACCAGAAAAAATCGAGCACGAAGCAAGAAACGACTGGTTGAGACAAAAGGTCAAATGGCCTGCCCAGGACCAATGACAAGGCAAACCGGAAGCAACCAGTTGCCCGCGGAAGCTGCAATGGCTCACAGTCCCGCTCAGGAAAAGATTCGGTGTCGAGGGGCACCCTTGCACCCTATGTGCACTCGAACCAAACCTTAACTAGATAATTATTGTAATGAACCTCTTAATTTTATACTAGTTATTAGTGAACCTGTTATATCATGAACAACAAGTGATGTTATATCATTATATCTAGATCACAATCACCATCATAATTGTGATAAACATTGATATACAACCATCATATAATTGTTAATGATGATTACAGTTGCTAATGATACTATTTAGATGATTCTTTTAATGACCCTGGTATATTATCTCTATAAAATATACTGTTATGGTATGTTAAAACATTTTCTGAACTATGAAAATTAACTTTGAAAATGTCAGTGCCATGAAAATGAACCGTTCTAACCACTGAATGGTTTTAAAAAGTGTTTTTTCGGAAAAAATGTGTGTTTTCATTCAATTTTTTTATAAAAACAGAGATTTTTTACATTTTTTGGGTCATTTTTCGGAGATTCCATCCGTTGGGTTCCATCCGTTGTCAGCGTTGCCGGGAAGTGGACCTGGAAGGTCACTGGGTCCAACTTCGAGCTCATCTGATTGGTTTTAACAGAAATGCAACGATATTTTTTTCAAACAATTTTAATAAAGAAACACAATTTTTCTATGTTGATGTTTTATCTATTGGAATAGATCATTGAGCAGATGCACACAATCGATCAGTACATGTTTTTTCTATTAAAAAACGCAATTTTCCACCATTTTTCCATCATTTCCATCATTTTTTTTGGAATTTCTGTTGTAGGACTTCACCATCTTCCACCATGGGTTCATTCCACCACTCCGTTGTCGTCGCATTTCGTTGTTGGACTTCTTCGTTCAGCGTATCCCTGAAACGGTCTGATCTGTCGCCCCAGCCGGACCGGAAGGCTCGGGTCCAAGTCCCGGAGCCCATCGTCTGTTAATTAACCTATCACTATTTTACTAGCTATATGAACATGACACCATCATTGTTATTAATGAACCTGTTATATCATCACAACCATCATAATTCTGATATTGATAAACCATCATAAGGGTTAATGACTCTATTTATATGACCCTGGGAAATCTTATCACTATGATTTTTCTGTTATGGTCTATTTGTGATAATGAACTGTTTTATATATGTCATGTGTCATTTGTTTCATTATTTTTTTAAATTATTTTCCTGACTTTTTTCATGTGTTTCATTGTTTAGTACAGTATATGGTTCATTATTGTTTCTTTATTTTTTTTCAATGGTTTCCGGTGTTTTTTCTCGTTGTTTTTTCAACGTTGTTCCTTCGGGTTTTTAGTGTTTTTCATTGTGTTTTTTGGATTTTCAATAGTTTTCCAAGTTTTGTCACCCGTTTACATTGTTTTGTTGAATGTTTTTAATTGTTTTAACTTCAACGTGTTCATTGTCTTTTCTTCAGAGATGTTCATTGCATTTCCATTTTTTCAAGCGCTGTTCAGTTTGTATTTGATCGATTTTCCGGGTTTATATGTTTCATTGTGTACCTCACAATGTTTTCATTTATTTCAAGGTTGTTCATTGTTTGTTTCTTGCTGGTTTTTGTTTATTTTTCCAAATACATATTTAACTATAACTGTAGGTATTTTAAATATTTTGCCATTTTTGTTTGGTCATTTTTATATTTTCATAGATGTTTTGAAAAACTATGTGTTTCACCATTTCGTGGGTTCCATCCGTTGTAGCCCGTTTTTCTAGTCGGTGTAGCCGGGAAGAACTGGAAGGCCTGTCACTGGGTCGATGTCCTCAAGCCATGGATTTTCCCATGAAAAACATGGTGGTTTTCCATAGTTAAACGTTTACCAGGGGGTCTTGCAATGATCTTTTGTTCAATTTTTTTTTGAAAACACGTTATTTTCCAACCTTTTCAGATAAAAACTATGGGGTTTCCACCCTGTTGTGTTCCGATGTAGGTCTGCGGTGTTGCCCGGGAAGTGGACCCAAGTCTGGGCCTGTCACTGGGTCCAACGTTTACCAGAGGGTATAAGGGGAGTAATCCCCAAAAAAATAATCTGTCACACATATTAGCTTATCCTATATTTTCCAGGAAGTGTGACATTTTTTGGGAATCACATTTTATAAGGGGGGTAATCCGAATCAATGAGAATCACATATAGAAGCCACTGTTGTTCAAGTAGAGAAGCCACTGTTTCGACCCAAAAGAAATGAACGGTGTATTCTTGCGAAATCCTGCACCACCTTTGGATGGTTGAAACATGTTGAAACATGTTGAAACCCATGGTTTTCTTTTACCACATCCCTCAACTGGTGTAGAATTTGGCAACCATCCATGGTATCGCATACACAAAATAATAGATGTATATCCCATCATATCCCACTATATTCCCATGATACTTCCAGTAAATCCCATGGTCAAATTAAGAAAAAACCGGGGGACCTTTCGGAGGCTTCATTCAACGATCCTACTGACCTGCACTGCAGCTTCATCTTCCAGGATGTTGCCCTGGGAAGAACTGAGAACCTGAGGCGTGAGGCGTGAACTGTGAAAAACTCTGGTGATGGAACTTATGAAGAAAGAATGGAATCACAAATACTGGTAAAATACATGTAAATTATACACAAATCTACATTGGAGCAATTAACAATATAATCGGTGATTGGACCAAACATGATTTTATGGTGATTAGATTAATGATAATTAATGGCGTCCCCCTAATATCAACCCCCAAACATGGTCCCAAATATCTGCAAAATCTTGGTGGATTCTTTGCACCGAGATCCTCCTGGAACAGTGCGCCTCATCCTGACTGGAAAGGGATGTTTTTTTTTTTAAATCCCTTCCCCTGTGCATATTAAACACACCTGAAACGAAACCATGGTGGATATAGGGAATTTCCACATTGGGAACATAGAAATGGGGTGTTTAATCAGTTTAATATGAACGGATGATGGGATTATGGTTGATGATCTTCGTGGTGATCAATCTCCTCGGAAATGTTGAGCAATCCGGTGATCATCTCTTTGAACAGTTCTATGATTAGGTGGTTGTCATCATCATCTCATAGAATCTTGAAACCACTTGAACCAAGATTCTTTCAACTTTAATCAACTTAATCTTTGAATTCATTTTGAGGTTCCGAATCCATTTGATTC